GGGGGCCGTGCTCGGCCTGAGCTGGGCCCCCCGCCCCGGGCTGCCCTCCGCCACCGCTGCCACCCTCCTGGCCTCCGGTCCCGAAGGGGAGATGCTCTGGCTGGACGTCGCACACCGCCCCGGGCAGGCACCCTGCGTGCGGCTTATGGGACGGTACCTGCTGCCCCCCTGCAAGCAGCGCTGGCACACCTGCGCTGCCTTCCTGCCCCAGGGAGAGCTCCTGGTCTGCGGCGACCGCCGGGGCTCCCTCCTCCTCTTCCCTTGCAGCAGCTCCTTGAGGCGGGCTGCAGAAAGCCCCGGCATTGCCAATGGTGTCGCTGACTCGGTCGGTGAGGACTCTAGCAGCGAGTTGGAGCTGTCTTGCTTGTCACACAAAGGGGTCCTTCCCCTTGAGTCCCCGTTGTCCGTGCTCTTTGGGCTCCACGGGAAGACAGGGGTTACCTCGGTGACCTGCCACAAGGGCTACATTTACAGCACTGGCCGTGACGGTGTCTACCGCCAGCTCCACCTGCGGGACCAGCAGCTGGAGGTTCTGCGGAAGCACAGGCCCTGCAAAGGGCTGCAGTGGATCGAGGAGCTGCGCTTCACCCCAGACGGGGACCTGCTCGTGCTGGGCTTTCACGCTGACAACTTTGTGGTGTGGAGCAGCAGGACTAGTGAGAACCTCCACTGCATCCCCTGTGGGGGTGGGCACCGCTCCTGGAGCTACTGCAGCAGCCCCTGGGCTGAGGTCTTTGCCTTCATCAAGTCTGGGGATGTGATGCTGTACTGCTGTGAGGCCGAGCCCTGCGAGCAGCAGGTGCTGCTGGCATCCCTGCACGGGCGGGAGATCACCTGTGTACGGCGTCTGGGGGCCATGGAGGTGCCTGGCCATGCCGCCCTTAACGTGCTGGTCACCGGCAGCGAGGACACCACGGCCTGTGTCCTGGCACTCAGTGAGCGCTCTCGGGCAGCCGTGCCCCTCGCTCGCCTCAGTGACCACATTTCCAGTGTGAGGACGCTGGCACTGGCCGGCCCCACGGGACCTGGAGACAAGGGCTTTGGTGAGGAGGGCTTGTCTGCCCTGCTCTTCTCTGCGGGTGGCCGGGCACAGATCGAGTGCTACTGGCTGCTGTGTGCTGGGGACCCAGAGAGTGCTGTGGAGAGCCTGGAGAGTGCTGTGGCCTGCCAGGTCATCCATGTGGCCTCCCACCGGCTGGACGAGCACTGGGAGCGGAAGAAGAACAGGCACAAGCTCGTCAAGATGGACCCGGAGACGAGGTGATGCTCAGGGACTGCCTGAGGCAGGGTTAGTAGTGATTATGACCTGGGAGGGTGATGAGAACCACACTGACCTCCACTGGGGTACTGCTCTGTGCAGCTGCAGGCTCAGCTGAGGCAGACTGGGCCAGTGTGGCTTCATGTGTGCATTCCTGGTGCCCTGTGGCTTGGCCTTGAGGGGCTTTTGTGGCTAGGGAAAGGCCTACTCTTTCCTTGTGCCTTCTCCGAGTGCTTAGAGCTGCATCCAGCACTGGGCTTGGGCTGCTCTCGTGGGCCATTCACCTCCCCAGGGCCACAGGTGTCACCAAGGCGTTGGTGAGCATTGTATCTTTGCTGCAGGTACATGTGCCTCTCTGTTGTACCTGGCACCAACAACAAGCAGCTGCTGACATCCTGGAAGTTCCTGGCTGCTGCCTGCAGCGATGGATCAGTCCGGTGAGGAGCCATGGTGCAGCCTGGCAGGGAGAACAGAGCTGGGGCTGATGATGGAAGCAGAACAGGCTCTATGTGGGAAGCTGCTGCCATGGGTGTGGCCTGTTCTGCACAGGGAACAGGGCAGTGCATGGTGGGAATTGGGGCAGAGATGCCAGGAGCTCCCTCCTCCCACAGCCAGCTGTCCTCTGCTCCATCGCAGGGTCTTCGGGCTGCTGGAGGCTGCTCGGAATTTGGTGCTGGTGGCAGAGTCATTTCACCACCAGCGCTGTGTGCTGAAGGTGGAGGCGTTCCTGCACACAGGGACAGGAGGGGAGAGGTGAGCCCTGAATGCTGGGCTCTGGGGAGAAGCATTTCTCCTCATAGGGATGGCAGCTCAGCGAGAGAAGGGAAGGGAGGAAGTCAGGGAGGCTGTTCTGCCATTTCCACAGATCTTAATGGGGACCCTCAGGGCTGTGGCCAGAGGCTCCCCCTACACCTCCCTTCTAGGAGGCACCTCCTGTGCAGTGCAGCCACTGACGGCAGCATCGCCTTCTGGGACATCACCAGCCCCATCACGGACGCAGCAGCTGCCCTGCACCGAGCGGAGGGGGAGATGCAGCCCCTGGGTGGGTGTCACTGCCAGCAGCCCTGCTCTGCCGCCTGAGGGTGGCCACACTGGTGACTCCTCTGCTCCCTCTGACCAAGGTGAGCATCACTCTCCTGACCAAGCCTGTCTTCCCAGCCCTGGGTGTCCCACTGCTCACCGTCATGGCCCACAGCTGCGGTGTGAACAGCCTCCACGTCAGCAAGGTGACAGAGGGACAGTACTTGGTGGCCAGTGGCAGTGATGATGGCTCCATCCACATCTGCCTGCTGGAAGTGGCCTTGGGCAGGGGCGAGGCCGCAGCAGGGACCTGCCTGCAGATCCTGGAGCGAGTCTCCAGGCCCTGTGCCCACGCTGCCCACATCACGGGTATCCGGGTGCTGCGGCCGGACCTGCTGCTCTCGGCCTCGGTGGATCAGCGCCTGACGCTGTGGCGCCGGGGCCCGGGGGGGCTGGTCCCCCTCAGCACCACCTTCTTCCACGTGCCTGACCTGGCTGAGCTGGACTGCTGGGAGGTGGCGGAGGCCGGGGGGGAACTGCGGTACTACTGCGTGCTCTGTGGGCAGGGCCTGGAGATGCTGTGCGGCACAGCCCCCTCTGAGCCCTTGCCACTAGAGGCTCCCCAGGAATGGGACAGGTGTGCAACACATCCCAGTCCCTGCCTGTCTTGGGAGGGTGCTCTGCCCATCACTGTAGTCCCTGCCCCCAGCCTGCACACTGATGTGTCCCCTCCTGAGGGGATGGGCATGCTTGGCTCCTTCAGGGGCAGCACAGCTGCATATGGGGTGCTCAAGGCCAGTGGTCTCAGGGGTGAAGGCAGATGTGACCCCTCCGGGAGGGGCCTGTGACTCCCCAGGCAATAAAGAACTGGGGTTGTCAGCTCCCTCTGCCCGGGAGAACCTCCTCCCCAAGGTGTGAGGGACCCATGTCCAGGCTTTCCAGCCCTGGTCTCAGAGAGGAACCTGCTGAGGAGGGTGCTTAGGGCCCTGCCCAGCACTGGGAGCTTGAGGGCAGCAGGAGGCCAAGAAGGGTCAGGCACTGGTGGGCTGCAGCCTGGCGTGCCAGCCCTGACTCTGCAGTGCTGAGGATGGTGCTGAAATGCACAGAGACACTGATCCTCTGCTGTAGCACCCTGTAGGGTGCCCACACATGCCCCCCCGCCTTCAGAGCAGCCTTTCAGTACTGTGTCAGGCCAAGCGGGTTGTTCCTGTGCAGCAGCAGGACCCAGGACAGTTGGAGCAAGGGAAGGACAAACAGCTCTGAGGTCAAACAAATGCAGTGTTTGTCCAGCAACAAGTGTATTGGACCCCAGTACTGGGGCTTGGGCCAGGTCCTGACAGGAGCCTGGAGCCTCAGGAGCTCCCTGCCAGCACGGAGCAACCTTCAATAAACATCTTTGAGGGAAGTGATGTTGGTGCCTGGTTTTGTGGTGACTGGTTCCTGGTGCCACCTCCCTCAGTGTTCCCAGCACAGTTTGTGGGGTGCCACAGGAGCCCTCCCTTTTCCCTACACACTGGGCACAGCTGCAGGGAGCACGTGGCTAAGCCCCAAACACCACAGACCCTGGGAGGGGAAGTGCCTGCGTATGCTCAGGTGTCTCCTGGCTGGTGCTGGGGCAGCCCCTCACCCTGCTGGGGACGGCACGCCCTGTCCTCCCCTAACAGCACATTGTCTAGGTGCCTGTCACACCATGGCACAGGTCTTCAGGGGTGGCTCAGATCTGGCTGAGAGGAGGGAGGTGCAGAGTCGCCAGCGCGCTGTGGAACACATCCCTCACTGCTCCCAGCAGCCGGAGGCGGGCAAACATCTGGTCAAAGAGGTGAGGGAATGGCTCCTGTGGGGAGAGAGGCAGCAACTGGGGTTGGTGGCCAAACTGCCCCTCAGCAGGCTGGCCCTAGAGGCACTGCTGCCTCTCCACCCACATGGCTGCCTCCCAGCTGCAGTCCAGCCATAAGGCTGCAGGCTGGGACACCCAACTCACCCCCAGGACGTGCACCCGGTTGTAGTAGGAGCTGAAATCCATGCTGAGCTGGATCAGGAACTTGCATACCTGTAAGGCAGACACATTCTGATGGCACAGCAGGTTCTGGCCAGTCTTGGGCCTTTCCCCACCCCAAGCACATCAGGAACAGCCCCAGGGGTGTTGCAGTCTCTTCCCTCAGCACCAGCTGTGTTGCTCATGGATGGGCAGCACCTGCTGGCATGGAGCTTTGCCCTGGGCTGGGACTGTAGGAGCAGCACCCATGGGTGCTATGGCATGTAGCACTTACTGTCTCTGTGTTGGCTGTGATCCGGATCCCCTTGGAGGGTGTGGGCAGCTGTGCTGCCTGCTCCAGGACTTCAGGAAAGGGCAAGAGATAGTTGAAGAGCAGGAGCCATTCACCCTGTGAAGGGATAATATGTTTTAGGGCCAGATCCTTCTGGGCCAGTAGCATCCATCATTGGAGCTGAGGGTGTGCAGGTCCCCACATTCCCCCTTTCAGTACTCACTTCTTCTCGGAGGCAGGAGAAGTTCAGTCCGGACGCTGGTGGCAGAGGTGGGTATGTCCCTGGAAAGAAGGGAGATTGTTGTGCCTGGAGAAGCCCCCGTGGCTCCAGAAGTGGCTGCTAGAGGAGGGTGGCAGGGCTGGTGCTCACCCCGCTCCACAGCCCGCTGGAAGCTGTCGAAGAGCGTGGCCAGGCGGGCACAGTTGTACATCACAAAGGCACCACTCTTGGTTCCTTTCGTGGAGATGCTGCTGTTCTCCAGGTCCAGGGTGATCTGAGGGCACAGGCAAGTCACAGTGCAGGCTGCTCAGTGCAGAGCCACTCCATTGTTCCCACGGCCTGCCAGCCCTGGCTCCCTGCACGCTGCTGTCCTACCTGGCTCCGGTGAGCAGTGCTCAGCATCTCAAACCTGATGGCAGCCGCTGTCAGGGTATCAATCACCTCCCTCCAGGCCTCGTCTGGAAAATGAAGGTGGCATCAGTTGGCTCCATTCCCATGTACTGACACCCCCAGGCAGGACACCCCACCTGGAGCCAGGTGCTCCTGGAAGCTGGTGACCACCATACTTCCCCAGCTCCGTACCCCATTGGCACGTGCTGCTCTGTGCCAGTGCCCTGTGTGTTTAGGTGCCTTCCCCAAGCAAGATCAGCACCTGGCTCCATCCTGGAGGGGAGAACCCTGACTGGCTGTGAATTCAGAGGTGAGGGGGAGACTCATGGGAGCCATGGAGATGGGATGGAGCTGCACCTGTGTGTGGAGCCACAGAACAAACCCTCACCTTGTGCAAGCTCCCCATACTTCATCACTGAGGCTTCATACATCTGGCGCTTTCGGAGCCTGGGAGAAACACAGACACTCAGAGCTAACCCCTCTGGACTGAGCTGATCCCAGAGAGGACCCCAGGACTCTACCAGCCTTCAGGCTGCTCAGGGCTTCCCAGCTGCAGCAGTGACTCAGCTAAGCAAAAGCAGCACAAAAGCCCCAGGAGCAGAGCAGAGCCAACCACACCCCAGCAGGCCCCTGGGCTGCTGCCTGGAGAGGGCTTTTAGGAACCACCCATCTTCTGCCACTGCCTTTCCTCTTAGCAGCATGGAGAGAGGCAGAAGCAGCACTGCTGGAGAAGGCCACTGGGGAAGGTACCTCCAGTTCTCCTGAAACAGCCCTGTGGCCATGGAAAGCAGGATGGAGGGAGTGCACAGAGCTCTCTGTGTGCCAGCAGCTCACTCAGCCATGACTGTGGGTGCCTGGGTGCCCATGGGGCCAGGCAGAGCACAGGGAGCCTTGGCAAGCAAGGGAGCAACAGGTGCCTTGCACACCAACTCACTGGAAGTACTGGTCTGCCCTGATGGGCGATGAGGGGTTGGTCACCTTCACTGGCCCACAGACAAGGTGTTTCTGAAAGACAAAGGAGAGGCTGTCAGAGATTCAGAAGCTCCACCAAAATGCACTGCAGGAGAACTAGGTGAAATCCAGCCCTGCTCTAAACCTAGTCTGGAGCACAGGGATACCAGGGGCCACAGTGAGGAGGGTCAGAGGTTGCTCACCTGCAAAGCTGTGTGGGCTCCCGGGTCCAAAATTCTCCAGAGCAGATCCAGCTGCTGCTGCTGGAATTCCTCCTCACAGTTCACCACATGTATGATGCTGCAGCAGCTACTCTGGCCCTCAGCCTGCAACAGAGCACAGCAGGGAGTTCAAATGATATTGCCTGGTAGAAGGGAACACCACCTGGGAAGTGAGAGGCAGGCAGTGCCACAGGGTCACTCACCAGGCACTGCTGAACAGCTTGCTGCAGCTCAGCCAGGGACCTCAGCATTCCCTCTGTCACTGAAAGATGGAGGGACACAGATTGGGACACAAGGTTTTGCCATCCCCTGCCATCCCACACCATCGGGTCTGCCCCGGGCTCAAACCAGACTGAAGGAGAATAAGCGGAAAAAGAAAGGAAACAGGCCTTTCACCCATTCACCCCCCACTGCCACACCTGAGCTGCTCTACATGTGAGGCTCACCGAGAAGCACATCCAGGTTGGGGTCATAGCCCACCAAGCCCTGCTGCTCCACGAAGCTCTTCAGGTGCACTTTACCGATGACACCCTCAGGCAGCGTGGCCGTGCCCGGCCCCTGCTCACAGGCTGTGTTACAGGGAGCCCGGCCCAGCGCTGCCTTCAAGGCCGAGACAGCCTCAGGGAAGGACGAACCACCGGAGCCGGAGGGCCAGTCGATGCGGAGCTGTCGCAGGACCTCTGAGCTGCCCTCCCGGGTGAGGGCAGGGACCAGGCGCACGCCGACCCTGCAGGAGAGGGCGAGGGAGGCGCTGGCAGCGGCGGGCGAGGGGCGCGGGCAG